CATTCTCACATCATGTGTGCTTGGGCCAAAGATATGCTAATTACAATGTGGGTGGGCAGGTTGCACTGCAGAAGTGCTCTATAGTATGTAGTTCAGTGCATTATCGTGGAGTATGTCTTCGGTTTCCCTTTTTCTGGTGGCTTCACAACTGGGGAGTCCCTTTATCTGGGAGATAAAAGGCAGGTGCTAAGGGGTTAGAACCTGTTGTGGAGAATGTGTTGCTGCTACATGCAGATGGGATAGGGAGCTTGTTGCTTGGAAGTCCGGGCCCAGATCGCAGAGGTTTCGGCAGCAAGTGTCAGTAGGCAGTTCCGGCAATGATGGCTTCCGCTCTTAGCGATGCGACAAAATGGTACTTGGCAATCAATGAGTCTGATTGGGTGACGGCTCTGAGCACATTCAAGAATGGTCTGAATGAGCAAAGCAGCTCCATCACCACACCTCATAGCTTTCCGGTCGGCCTTTGGCACGAAACACCTGAGAAGGCAATTGAGGCCTGGTGGATTGTGTGGTGCTTCAGTTTTCATTCGAGGTGATGGTTGGTAGGTACCACTTTAACTAGGGCCCCTCCTGTTCTGCAGGCTCTGAGTGTCTATTCGGCCCGGCGACTCAATTTCTCCCCCAGTGGTGACTCCGAAAGCTTGGAGGCCATCGTTGGTGCCAAGGCTTACGCAAAGCTCCAGTTGCAGGGAACCTTCTACTGTGTGATCCTCGAACCGACAGAAAAGTTCATGGAGGAGTTCATTCCAACAGGTAAGGTGGAACTGGATGAAGGACGCCTTCGATGCCGGGTGCCCCCGGTTCTCACAAAGGACACCTCTATGTTCACCAACAAGGCTGGTTGAGTAGAGTGTGAGTGTTTCTACATGGCCTAGCTTTGGAGCTTTTAGCATGACACATGATCTGCCAGGAAGTCATTCCACTGTTGGACACCAAGTACTGCCATGTACGGGTGCAAGCGTACAAATTGCAGACTAGGATTCTGCCGGCTGAGGGCCACGGTGCTGAGTCGGATCCTCCCTCCCATGGCCTTGTGATTTTCATTCCATGGAAGCCATGGAGAGGGTTGGGGAATTCGGTCGATGACCTCATATTTGGCATTGATCTCTCCTACAGAGACTATGTGACAAGAAACACAGTGAAAGGGAAGACCCCCCAAGCACACTTCAATGTTGCGAGATCGGCCGTGGCATTCCCCTCTGTGGCTACAGCTGGAGTGTGCTCCTTCTTGAAGACAAGGTCCTTGACAGGGACCGCCTTGGAGATCACAATTCCCCTGTGACCTGCCTGCCCTTGTGAGTTCACATGCATGTGACAGTTTTGCCAGTAGGGCTGTGCATCCTTGACTATAAGGCAGCTGCTGCCCACGACCTCCCTCACCATGCAGTTCATTGGAGAGAGCCTTTTCCCACACTATCGCCTCTTCTTGGAGGAGCCGATGCTGGAGTTCATGCGGGGTTCCGGGATGCCTGCACTCGTGCAGTACCAGTTGGTCGCGCAGCCACAGGGGGATGGAACCTCTTGGAAGGAAGCTCTGGAACATCGGAAGCGAAACCTGCTCCAGGCAAGAGGACGTTTGATGGAAGAGTTGGAGTCAAAGAAGGCAAGGCTTCGACTCATCGACGCGGAGATCCAAGGGGTTGGGGCCCATGTTGCTGAAGATGACACAGTCCCTGAACCCTGAGAGCAGTGGTGGTGACATGTCTATGGTGTTCTTCTCAGTTTTGTTTCATCAGGGAGAAGGGACCCGGCAAGCAATGCTCTGCCTTCCAATCTTTTTGTGTTTGGCACACCGCACAGCCTGGGGGTTCAAAGGAATCCGGTTCCCCTAGCAGCTGTTGTGATGCCCTCAGCCTCCGAATAGTGCCAATGGTGTGAAATGGGGGGTTGTGTGTGTGGGTGCACTGTGCAGCATTGATTGCAAGCATGGCCAGATGCAGTGCTCCAGAAGTTTATGGAAAACTGAACTGCAGCAGCAGCCTCGAGTTCAAAACTAGAGGCATAGTGGTCGGTCACACTGACTGCAGATGGAGGAATTGCCACCATCTCAGGATGAATCCTTGCCATCATCTGAGGATGAATCCCCTGCTTCATGCAAACTGCTGGAGGAAGCATTGCCAGGACAATCCCGGTGCTGCCAGATGCACTGTTTGGATCTCATCGAGGAATTACACCCCACAAGACTTCAAGAGATGGCCATTGCATTGCGTGGTTGCCGGCACAGTGAACAGAGGAAGCAGCTTCAGCTGTTTGCTTGCATTATGTAGAGAGGGCAATTACATGTTTCCAGGTCTCAGTACTGTGTATCATTGGTTCTCAGGTGGGAGCTGCTGAAGCAATGGTACAATCGGGAGCAGCAGGCCTCCAAGAGAGGCTATCGCCAGTTTGTCTTTCTTGGAATGAGAATGTGCCGAGCAGCTGCAGCCCGACTGTTGGACAGTTCCGGGCCACGTGTAACCCGATGGATTCAGTGGCTGCAGGAAGGCCACAGCCAGGTACCTGCAGACCTACGATCCCATCAGCCCAGTGTGGAGTCCAAGGAAGTGGCTGCGGCAAATCTTCTTTTGGGATGGGTCTACCACTCAGCCCATTGATTACATGTGCATGCAAACTTGTCAAACAGCATTGTGAGCTTTGCATCTTCGGCTGATACAAGGCTCATGAGTTCCTGGCCGAGCCTATGCCAGAAGCTCCAGCAAGTGTGCTGTCAAGCTATGCTGCGGCAGTTCAAGCCAAGAGTTTCATGGACCCGGTCCAGACAGCAACGGTGCATGACAAGGAGGTTCGGCATCTTGCTCCCAGCAGCAATCTCACACAACTGCACCATGGTGGTTACTTATCACTTGTTTCCTTAGCAGACTAGCAGATACGGACAGGTACACACCGTGACATGTACGACATGTCATTTGAGTTGCCTCCTGGATGTGTTGTGCAATTTCTGAAGGTATGAAACTTCGATTGGCATGCTGCGGGACACTCTCGATGCCAAGTGTTCCTACCAGACTTTTGTCAAGTGCTACCACCTTTCGTGGCACTGTGTGCTGAAGTTCAGGCACCAAGGCATGCATGGAAAATGCAATGATTGTGGCCCGGCAAACAAGGCATGGTTCAGACATGTCATGTCTGGGTTCATGTGGGCCAATTGGACTGCTGATGTAAGGCGAGCGTTTCAAACAATACGCCCGGCAGAGCAGCTGCAAACGAGATTCTGACTTGGTTCAACAAGCTTATCAGGCACATTTGGCTCTCATGATCAAGGATCGGGCAATGTGTGCGCGGTGGAGACTTGTGGCTCGTGAATCTTGCACCACAGGCCTCAGTGGAGCAGATGATCCCAGCACCTGGCTCAACATGTTTGTGGATGGCATGGACATGGCCAAGTTCTGTGTTCCTCGTAATGTTACCAGCGCAAAATCTTTCCAGATGATTACCAAGCCAGAAATCAAATGCTCGGTGGTGGCTCCTCGGATGCAGTTAGTTGGACAGGGCAGACCATGCAACAGTCCATGGGATTTGGGGCAAAGAAGCTTTACTTCAAGACTTCCTCAATGACAGGTCACAGAGGCCATCTCTGAGACATACTGTCTCATGGACACGAACATTGCCGCCACGGCCAACTTGGATATGACTTTGTTGACTGAAGAAATCTACCAGGCAGTTCCAAGAGAAGTCTTGGTATCTTCATGTGGTAAGACTGACCCTAGCTAGACTCTATCTAGACTTGAGTCAAATCGGCCAGGCCCATGTTTCCTTGGCTGGGGCCGGCGTTGCCTGGCCAACTGGACTGAGGGTCCACGCGGACAACGCGCCCTCAGAGACCAAAAATCAGTACTGCTTCTATTGGGGTGCATGGATGCTGGACCTTGGATTATTCAACCAGGCGCAGCTTGATTGATATCCTTTATAATTCCATATCATCAGTCTGACCTGCTGTGAACAGGTTTCCTTCACCTTCTACATGAAGGGACATTCCCATGGCCTACCTGACCAACGATTTTCGGAGCTTCGAGATGCATTGCAGAAGGCATCTTGGATCGAGGACCTGCAGTCTTTCCGGGATATCATTGAGGGCTGTGTCCAAGGAAGGCAGGGCCGTCGACTGAGGACGAGACATGTCTCATCCTTGTATGATTACAAGGGCTTCTTTGATTCCTTGGAGACAGTCTTGTCTGGCCATGTGCAGACTGCAGCCAATAACAAGAAGAACCTCCAGGCATGCCACAGCTTCATGCTTTGCAAGCGCCGGGTGGCAGAGGATATGGCATTGCCCGAGATTGAGAGCTTCTTCTCCGACCCACCACACCCAGATGACATCATTATGATCACAAAGCTGCACATGAGCTCGGATGAGATCAGCCAAGCATGTGCCTGACCTGAATTCATACATTCCAATTAAAAACACAGTTTCCTGGCAACAGTGCCTGTGACGAACCTAAGGTGTCTTTGTCACTCATGCAGCTTTAGCCAAGTTGTCTGGATGGCCAGAAGCATCGGTGCCCAGGAAACCCATGTCAGTGAAAACAAGCAAAGAGTTGCGGAAGGGAATTGGGATTGTTTCCCAGCAGCCCTGGAATCTCCGAAAAACAGCGGCCTACTACCAGTATCTCATTGACACCAGTGACACCATCCCGGAAGATCCGAACCAGGGTGTCCATCCTTTCAGTTTGATGATGGAAGGATCGGCCCATCTGAAGCTGAAGCCCACCGAGAATGCATCATACCAGCCTGAGGATTTTGCATGGTCGAGGCCGAAAGCTGCCAAAATCCGGGCAGCTGCCAAGAAGAGTCATGCAAGGCCTCGTGTCCCCCCTGGGCATCCAGAAGAAGTCTCGGAGGTGGAGCCTTTGCCATCCCAGAGCCTGACCGAGTACATGCCCTCACCTGTGCCACTTGACCCAAGCCAAGCAGATACCGAGGCTTTGCCCTCACAAGCAGACAGCACAGCTTTGCCTTCCCCAGTGCAGAGTGCTGATGAGCCATTGCAAGTTGCTTTGCCAAAGGCAAAAGCAAAGGCAAAAGCTAAGACGGCTAAGAGCAATTCGAAAAATGGTTTGGTTCTGAAGCGCCCTGCGGCCAAGATCAATCGGAAGCAGCTTCCCCCGCCACCACCGGGCCATGAGAGGCTTCTGGGAAGGGGTGGTGTCCAGGTCATTGTGCCAATGGGTGAAAGCCTTGGGTGCAAGAAGTGTCG